TTTAGGCCGCAACCTCGCCGGCCAAATGTATGGCATTCATTCCAGTACACTGCAGGAAGAGCAATACCCTTTGATGAGATGACCAGGGCTCAACAAAGGCGTTTCCAGCGAAATTACGGGCGGATGATGAGGCAGCAACAAGGAATGCCACACCCTAAAGCACCTCTACTACTCAAGGTAGCCAATCAAAACGTCCTGAAGGGTAATAAGGAAATTGGTACAGACGAATCAATGAAAGAACTGCCAGAGACCTCTTCTGGGAGATCAAGGTTTGAAAGAGATAAAAAGGAAGAAGAAGATCCAGATGAGCCCCTTGCTATCCAATTCAGTACGTTGCCTCCTGTCATGGTCAATAATTACCTACTGGCCAATGAGTTCAAAAATAAGGAAAAAGAAGAAGAGAGGGAGGACAACGAAGGAGAAGCCTGCATGCTGGTATGCGAAGAAGGCCAGACTTCTGGAGAGGCCTACAACGATGAAGAGGACGATGGGATGACAGACATTGAAGAAGAAATTGATCTAGAAGCAGAAAGGAAAAAGAGAGGGGTATCACGCAATACTCTGTTTAAGCAACTACATCAAGAGGGAGTCCACGAAGTAGACTTATTGGGGGAGCCATCTGGGCGTCCTTTCGATTTCTACGTACTGTACGGAACACCCAAAAGAAAGAAGAGAGTGCCTCGCTCTGAGAAGTATGGATCACCTCCAAAAATAATGCCTCCTCCCACAAGTTGGATGATTGATGAGGAAGCATTAAGGAAGCGTTAGAAAAAAGCAAGAAGGAGATTCAGGAGACAGAGGATCAGCGTAGCATACTACACGTCGACCTATCACAAGGGGATAATTCGACAGAAAACAAGCAAGAGGTAGAAATAGAGGCTGCCGAAAAGGTTGTTTTTAAACGGCCAGCCATGAAGTTGACAAAACACCTGAGGCCATTATACGTTAAAGCTCTAGTTAACGGTGTCCCAGTGGCAAAAATGCTTGTCGACAATGGAGCAGCTATAAACACCATTCCATCCAGAATGATGAGAAAGCTTGCAAAAACAGAGGGTGATATGATTCCTATAGAAGTCATCCTGAAGGCGCTGGACATAGAGAAGGTCGTTTATGTTATTATTGTAAAGTTCAAATGGTCGTTTAGAGTTCTAGATCGAAGGTTAGGTTTATGGAATTGGTGATGCCCAAAGTAGCGGAGTTGAAAGCAGGAAAATGTACTTATGTTTTACCTCATAATAATACTGTGTATGCCCCTCTAATTAGATTCTTAACCTTTACCTATCCCCTCGCTCACTTTCCTGACCCGGTCGGAGTTGACACAAAAATCCACGAAAGGGATACTTAGAATATGGGTATGCACTTGTGGCTGTATCCATGGCTATTTTCAATTTATACATTTGTTAAATTTTTGGCCATATTGGGGGGTAATTGTTGACACATAAAAATTCAGCCCAAATCGAACAGCCCAGAGAATAAAGTCCAATTGGAGGGTCCCCAAATCAGATAGCCCAAAGAACGAAATCCAATTGAACGAATCAAGGTGAATGCCCAAATAAGGGGCCCAATAGTGCGGTAACGCCATCGCCCAAGTTTGTAAGTCGCTCAGAGTCTGAACGAATAGAGTGGCATACGGTCGTCCAAAGTCTCGCCCAAATCTTCAAGTCGCCCAAGGTATCAACAAACATAACGCATTATGATGCAGTTATTGAGGCAGTTGCTAAAGTAATTTCATTACGTTCCACGACTCAAGGGGTTCAATCGAAAGCGGTTGAACGATGCAAGATAATGGCAGCAGTTAAAAGACAGTTGCATGACAAAGTGGCCATTACAAAGAAAGTGGGTAGTTATTGGGCGATCAAGCAGTTTTTTAGAGCAGTTAATCACAAAGGGATCGCCTATGAAGTATAAAAGGGAGAAAGAACTTAGAAGCAAGGACCGAATCCAAAACTCTCGAACAGAGAATATGTAATTTTCATTCCTTTAGCTTTTAGACTTAAACATTTCCTTTTCTGTAACTCGTGTGCTTGCGCCCCTTGGAGGCACGTTGTTTTCCGTTTCCAATTGTAAAGTTCATCGCCAATAAAAAGAACACCCCTTTTTGGGACTTTGTCTCAAGAGGTTTCGTCCCTTACACAATCGTCTGATCCTCTTTAATTGTTAGCGAATTAACCCGCGCGAAACAACTGGAATATGCTCCGAGGGCACCCAAAAAAAAAAAAAAAGTTGAGAAATTGATCATATTGAATCTTGCTCAAATTATGGGCAGATTCATGGGAAACATATGAAGGTGTTAGGGAAGACAAATTTCTTTATTCATTTTAAATTTCTGGTGCGTAGTAATTAAACTAGGATCAAGGCGTACAATGGTCGTTTGACATGTGAGGGATCACAAGAAATTATAATAGGAATAATACGTTCTAGTAATAACGTGTTGATCGCTAATTTAGATATCAACATATCAGAATTTCTATAAATTGGTCACAAGTACTTTTATTTAATTCAACATAATGGATGTTAAACATCACTCATGCTATATAATATTACTTTTAACATTAAAAGTATTGTCAAAAGATTCTCTAAATACAAAATACTTATTCTTTTAGAAAATCAGTAATTAAAAATAACTTTCAAAAGAATATATATTTTTAAAAATTGACAGGAAAAATGAAGAGGTTCAAAGGTTCATGGATTGAGAAAAATGTAGACCCGTCATCAAATAAATTCTTATTTAAATATCTATATTATAATTTTTTTTTTTGTTATTAGTGTTTCTAATGATCACTATTTGATATTCTTTAATTAATTTAATAATAATTTCATCAAATATGTTGGGTTTTTTATTCAAATTAGGTTGAATTTTTTCGGAAAATATTTTTTTTTTATTCCATGTGATTTTTATCTTGTTTTCATCTTTATGGTATTTCTAGAGGTTAGCATACACCCCTATAAATATTAAACTCTTTTTTCATAAATTTTATATTACTAAAATATAGATAATTGTGTAGGCACAATATTTGTTTTCTCCATATTAATCAATTGAATAAAATATTACGCTCCTATGTTAATTAATTCTTTGCTTTTTATCTTGTTGTCTATTTATTATCATATACTTCATATCGTGTCATATATATTATCTCAATTTATTTTATCTCTCAACAAGCGATATCAGAGTGATTAGTTGTAATTTGTTCGAAGTTTTTGTTATTGGTGACAGCCATAAAGTAGAATTCTGCTCTTGGATTGCAATACAAGATTCTCGTTGTGGCAAGTGAAGATGGGAGTTGTACTCACGTAGATGGATTTGGATGATACTTTGTTGGGATTTGATAAAGTGCTCACAACTTGGACAATGGAGGAGAAACAACGGAAAGATTGGAAAGCACGTTCTCTAATCCGTCTTCATCTTTATAACAAGCAAATTACATCTGAAATAGATGTTGTATTCGCATCGCATGGTAGAAGGCGGATCTTTAAAAGATTATCAGGTTGTGTTCAAAGAGATCATTGCTGATTTTTTTTAAGATGCTTCAGGGGTAAAGATGATGAAGAAGATTTGGCCTTAATCCTTTTGTGTACGCTATCCGCTTAATTTACTTCATTTAGAGACACGGTCTTGTATAGTCGTGATACTCTATAATGCCTTAACTTTAAAAGAGAAGATGGAATATCTGGTTGGATCTTAGGCCAAAGATGGAAAATACCTTATTGTTCATGGTGATTGGAGAAATGATAAGTAGAGATCAAATTTCAATAATCAAG